AGCGATTCGCATAAATATTTCCACACTAATGCATTTTCAACTGAAAACGATGTCAATCGACTATCCATTCTATAGTCTATTTCGGATAAAATTTTCAGCTGGAACGACTAAAGTTGCTGACTGTTTTCTCAATATTTCGAGCAAAAGAAAAAGACATCATGAGTTTTTGCTTGATTTTGAAAAAGTGAATTCAGAAGTGGCTTTTGTTAAAAAAGACTACTTGAGGTTCGTTTAGACACCATCGTCAATAGCATATTTGGAATCAGCATAAAAAGTTAAGCGGACTTATATATATATATTTCAAAGGTTTTCAGAGAACTTTTTTTTTCTCGAAAAATTCAGTCGAGGTTCTCCTCAAAAATTAGTCAACAAAATAAATTTAAGAAAAATACAATCTTTATTGTTAAGTTATTTGTTATTTTGTGTCTCACTGACTCAATCCAGATGAATTTTTCAAGACCGAAGGTTTGTCGAAAAACTTTAAAATATATATATATAGAAAGTCGACCCAGTTTTCTATGCTAATTCCAAAGATGTTAGTGGTTTTGAATAAACAATCATAGTACCCCGAACATTTGATTCACATAGAAACATGCGAATTCATTGTTTATTAGTTCATCCTTCAATAATTCAGTATGATATTGAACTTGAAATATTTTTTTCAAATATTTCTCGATGATTAAAATGTTTGCATTTTTAAAAATTATTCTCAGATGTATGAAAATCTTCTGAAATGACTCTTGTTTTAGAATTATAGAATGGAGTTTTTAATTCCCAACGGATAAAAGCGAATGTTCTCTAATTGTTGAAAGTGTCATTTTCATCATTGAGAACGATTAAAACTCGTAAAATACATGAACAAATAAAAAGATCTTGAATTTACTTTAACTCTCATCGAAATTTTCTTAATTTTATGTAGAATAATAAAAAAGAAAAGTTCGTTCAGATAAATTGTGTTAAACGATTTGAGTCTTTGAAATATCGAAAAATCTTAAAATGAATGAAAACCTATTCTGATCGATGCGACTTGTAAATCAATCTTTACTAGAGAGTATATATTAGCTTTGATATACATTATTGGAGACTCGTAACCTCATATGTTCAATAGTAAAACTCTTTCCTAAAACGAAATCAATCATATCCAAATGACTATTCTGTGCCGTATTCTAGAAATGATTTCTATCGGAATTCGAAATGATATTTCGGAGAGTTGAATATGGTTCATTTCGAATGGAGATCTGTTCAATTGTCTCTCTCGAAGTAACTCTAATCTATTAATGAAGTGAAAAAGTTCAATTGAATGACAAATAATATTCGATAAGTTTGTTTTAGAATTTCTATTTTTCTCTATTTCTAGTTCAATATACTCACAGGTTTGTTGTTCTTCTCGAATGTAGATTAATCGATTCCAATCAATTTGATCATTATCAACAATAATGGCTTTATTTGTATCTTTTCGAAACAATTGTTGAAGTGTTTCTTGAATTTCATTGAGATTTTGTTTTAATCGAACAATATCATTTTCAAGAAAATTTTCTTCTTCTCGACGACAACGAATTTCTTTTGTGATTGTTTCAAGTTGTTTTCTTATTTTGATTCTTTGTTTATGGATTAATTCGATAAGTTCATGATGAGCTTTTTCTGCTGCTTTTTCTATTTTATTGATTGTTGTTTTTTTCCATTCTTCAATTTGAGTAAAAAGATCAGATGAAAAATTATTTGATTTTTCTAATTTTTGTATTTGATCAAGAAGTTCATCGTGTGATCTAACTATTTCATTATCGAATTTTATTGATAGTTGTTGTTCATGTCCTTTGAAATCCTTTGGACAAAAATGTTGTTTACACCCAATGCAAAAATATTTAATTGAAGGTTTTTTACAGATTGAACATGCATTTGATTCATTTACTGTCGCCATTTCTCTTTGAAAAAAATGAATCAAATTGACTATGTAAGCTCTGATAAAAATATTTTGAATAATCTCGATCTAAAATGAATTCATATGAATATTTATAAAGAAATAATTACATGATTAACTCCATATGTTTCCTTTATGACTCAAATCTAATCTTATTCAATTGTCTCAAAGATGACTCTCTCTATGTATAATAGAAACGTAGAAACAAGATTATATCAGTCTTCAATGATAAATTTGAGAAGCTTGAACATCTCATAAATTCGTTTTGAGAGCGAAAAAGTCTTTCCAAACGAATCGATTTATGTCGGCAGAAGTCAGAATTCAATGAAAATATATCTAAATTGAGCATATAGATTTTTCCAAAAGACATGTAAATATAAATAGTCGAGTAATTACTTTCTAGCAATTTTTTTTGTTGTATTTTATCTTTCAAATAACAAAACAAATTATAAGAAAAACTAATTCAAGTGTTAAGCATCTCATGCATTCTAAATTTAACGTGTCGAATCTTACTTATTCACTAGGAACTTTTTTTATTATTTGGAAGATAAAATAAAATAAAATACATTTTCATGGTCATGAATCTAATCTTTGAAAAGAAATGAAATGACACTGCTGTTGTATACTTGTTAACGCCTGACTTTCTTCAAATCGATGTTATCTGATATCTCATATTTACTAAAAAATATTGGATCTATTTAAAAAGTTTTTTCGAAATGAAATACTGAAGTAAAAGAAACATAATGCACGTCACGCACTAATTTTTTTCTCTATAAGCACTATTTACCTTAAAATATAGCACAATCAATCCAGTACTTAATATAGAAGTTTCTTTTTTTGCTGCTCCAAATATATTTGATAATGCCTTTTCATATTTAGGAAGTATATATATATATCATTTCGATGGGAAAAAGCACCAAGAGATCAAAATGTTTCTATTCAAGCAAGCAACAAAGAGGGTATGACGGGCGACCTGTCTAGTCCATAACTTTTTCTGTGAAAGCCATGACTAGTCTATGTCAGACGATACGTCCTACTCATATGCTTAGACTAGTCGGATATTTCTCGAACTCACATTCATAAATTATGGATTTGTTCTCGTCTGGACTAGTCGATAGAATGTGAAAAATTTCTTTCGTGTCTAGTCCATTTTATCTAGAAAAGTGCTCCTTAGCATTATGAATTAAAGGAAAAGTTAATAAAGAAGCGACTGAACAGTTTTTAAATAATATTATCCATATCATGAATTATTCTCCTGTTTACTATTTTTAGTAGTGTGCTTTTTGATGTAGACGTAACAGATTTATATTCAAGTTTATTATGAATATTGTTTTTCCTCGAATAATTTGAATTAAATTTTAGTCGGTGGATACTTTTATTGTTATTGAGAATGTGGGTGTGGGTGTGAAATTCCATTACGATACATATACACCCACACCCACA